GCTCTGTGCAAGAGCAGCCTCTGTCCAGGGTGGGACTCCTGTGGGGCAGGAGCAACCCCTACCCATGACAGGCAGGGAGCTGCTCCAGCTCTCACCAGTTCATGGGAACCAGTAAACATCACCCATTTAGGGTGATGCTTATCAGTTAACCATTCAAATCCTTAGTTCCAATAAGAACAAAATAAATTCAAGAAAGATAGGTCCATCAATGGTTACTAGCCAGGATGGGCACGGATGGTGTCCCTATCTTCAGTTTGCCAGAATGGGTAACAGGGGAAGGATCACTCCATTATTATTCCTTCTGTTCATTCCTTCTAAAGCACCTGGCACTGGCCACTGTTGAAGACAGGATACTGGGCTAGATGGATCTTTAGTCTGAACCAGTATGGACATTTTTATATAGAACCCAAATGTATCTGTCCCTTGCTGTAACTCACCAGATCACACTCTCCTTCCAGATCTGAGACAGAGCCCAGGAGTCCTGACTGTGTGTCTGTCTCTCCGCACAGAGTTAGTAACTAAGGGTATGTCTACACTACCCTTCTAGTTCGAACTAGGAGGGTAATGTAGGCATACCGCACTTGCAAATGAAGCCCGGGATTTGAATTTCCCGGCTTCATTTGCATAAGCGGGGACCTGCCATTTTTAAAACCTCGCTGGTTCGAACCCCGTGCAGCGCGGCTACACGGGGCACGAAGTAGGTAGTTCGAACTAGGCTTCCTAGTTCAAACTACCGTTACTCCTCGTGAAATGAGGAGTAACGGTAGTTCGAACTAGGAAGCCTAGTTCGTGCCCCGTGTAGCCGCGCTGCACGGGGTTCGAACCAGCGAGGTTTTAAAAATGGCAGGTCCCCGCTTATGCAAATGAAGCCTGGGAAATTCAAATCCCGGGCTTCATTTGCAAGTGCGGTATGCCTACATTACCCCGCTAGTTCGAACTAGCGGGGCAGTGTAGACATACCCAAAGTAAGAACATACATTAAAATGTTAACCCTAATCAGTGTTCGGTAAGTGACTTGCCACAAGATGTCAGAATGTTAGTATTAGAAATGAATCAATCTAATGTTAAATTAATTTTCTCTCTTTTATACCGCTATACGTTGCCCTGGTATATGTTGTGCTCCACACTAGCATCACTGACGCTTGCGGGAACTGTTCTGTTTTAAGTCTTCCCATTACCCCCTCTTCCATCACACAAGAAAAAAAAGAGACCAATTTGCACAAACAGAAGTCAACTGTGGGGAAAAAATTCCTCTCTTTGCGTCCTTTCACTATACATCCACTTTTTTTTTAAGCATATCTTGGATGTATAGAAGGGGCGCCCTGTATAGAAATGTAATTAGGTACATTACTCCTGTCAGCTAATTGCTAACTTACCAGCCAAAAAACTAGAGTTTTCCAATGCTTTTGTAACCCCTGGAAAGAGGTGATATGGGATGGGGGATGAGGTTGATCTCCCTTCCCCAATTAGCTGCTTGTCTTGTACTGAGCATGTTCAGTAACAGTCCTGAAGCCGCTGTCCTCACTTTATCCCCAGATTCTTCACTCTGTCCCCTATTGTCATAACTTGCACAGTTTGGCCTCTGCTACTAAAATCTGAAATGACACCCCTGCACTCAGTTTTGGACCCCTCACTCCCATCCGCACCCTCCCATCCTTCCCCTAGAGCTGTGGTTCCAAATAGAGGACAGACATTGGCATGACTATGAAAAGTTTCGGAATCACTGTTTTGGAATAAAAGCAGGAGAGTGGTCGGCACATTAAATTAAAATGAGTCAATTACCACTGCTTTAGCTACTTTTGGAAACAAATACTTGTTGGCCATAGTGTTGAGTTCTTAGGTCTTATTCCATCCTGCGCTTCTCAGAACACTGGGCTACCCATATTTTCCATGCTTGCTTATCAGCTGCCGTGTAACCTAAATCCTCTCATTTCAAATTAAATTTTTCTATGTTGTTGACAGCTGTACACTTCTCAGTTATCCTAGATCTACCCCTATTTGTTGGTGGATTTTCTGGCTTCCAACTGACAGCCATAATCAGTAGTCAGTTATGATCCATTTGTAACATGTCCTAGCCATTGATGACTTCTCTTACAAATTATGTGTGACAGAGACCTCACTTTAGCCATTTTTCTAATCTCATGATTCATTTCTCTTTTTTCATAGCTTACTCCTGATATTCTCTGCAGGCTCTTATGTTGAAACGTATCTAATTTCTGAGCAACTGTTTTCTTAAGTTGCCAGATTTCACTACCGTAGGTTGCTATGGCTAAGAGTAGATGCTTAGTTTTGTATGTAAGGAGACTGTATTAGGTTTCCGAATGTTCCTAATTTTACCTTCATCTGCGTTCGCTTTCCTCAAATAAATCTACATAGAAGTGAGTATTAAAGACTTAAAAAAATATATATCTATATTCAAACAATTTTCTTGAAAACACGAGAATATCTTAATCTCATCTCATTAGACGTTTTAACCCAGAAATACTCAGCTTCACTTATCCAAAACCAGTCACAAGATTTAGGCCAGGTCTCTACTAGCGGAGAAAATTGATACAAGATATGCAACTCCAGCTACATGAACTGTGCACCTTGCATCAATTTTCTGGAGTGGCCCCACAGTGGACAATGTTGACAGGACTTCTCTAATTCCTTGCAACTGTGAGGAGTTCCAGAGTCAAGAGGGGAAGGGGGGGGGGGGGGCCTGAGTGTTCAATTTAGTGGATCCTTACAAGATCAACATCTGAAGTGTCTATCTTCCCAGAAGTGTAGATGTGTGCTTACCTGATACATATTTATTCATATTATTTATTATGTATAATATAAATATATACTATGTATTTATATTTAGGTATTACATTTTTATTTATTATTGTTATTTATTTATATGTAGCTGATACATATTCATTTATATGAGAAGCATTCTTTTCATTTCCGGGTTTACAGAAAATAGGGAAAAAAAGCATCAAAATTGAGGCTAAAAAACAAGACTAACATTTAGAGTGAAACAACTTGTAATGACTAACAGATGCACACAGGTTGAAAGGATTCTCATCTATGACTTCCTAATGCAGCAAAACAAATCTCATTTACTTCAATGGCAAAAAAAATAATGAAGCAACCAGAACTACTACAAGATAAAACAGTAAAACTTAACACAAGTTGCTCTTCTTTTATGCTTTCAATTTCCCTCCTCTCCCAGATTATTAGATGTGTTATGCTTCTTAATTGCTTCAACTATATTTTCTTGCTGAATCCTAAGACAAAAGGCTACCATCACTGGTAAGGTATGACAGTTTCAAACACATTTATTACAGATGGATCCAAGATATGAGTTACCAGTTGCTTCCCTTATTTTTCATCTGTGCCTACTGAACATCTGCACCTGCATATTAGCCTGTTGCTCTCTGAGCAGAAACCACAGTTGTGCTTGTAAGTCAGGACAAACAACTGAGCTGGTCAAGGGTATATAAAATTAAATTACAAGACACTGGAGTAACAGAACTAAGTCACAAGATCCCATCTGTTGTTAGACACATAATTCAGAGCTCACTGAAGTTAGAACAAGGTGATTTTCTTCTTCAATAAGATCTGGGCATGTCATTATGTTTGGGTGGAGGGCATTTTAAAAGTGTATTTTGTGTCTCATTTTCCTACTGCTAACAAAAAGAATGCATGCATTTAAATAAAATAAATACTACAGTAAACAAGACCCACAAAGGGAAAAACTGGACTTTTTTTAACTTCTTTATGATGTACAAAGTCTGAAAAGATTTATCCAGAAGCTTCCCTCTTTATTTTTTACATTAGCAACTCTGATCTTGTCTATCTTGGAAAAGTCTATAGTGACTTGACATTTAGTAAAAATGACATTAGGGAAACAACAATTAAGGGAAAGAATTTTTAATCAGCCTTTTCAGCATTATGGTGAGTTTCTGTTGTCTTGTAACCCCAATACATAATGAACACGTGGAGAAACGATGTCTGTTAAATATTCAATTATCGCACCCCTTCAGTTAAGGAACAAGTGACCCTAATACACATCTGAGACCTCCCCAAGAAGTTTTCCGGAAAAAACAATGGAGATCAGACTGGGTATTTCCTAAGATTTCCAAGGTTAAAAACATGCAGTAAGAATGAAGGTGGTTTTTTTGAGGGGGATATAGGGGTGGGTATTTAAAAAAAAAAAAACATTCAGGGCTTACTTAATCATCATAAAGGACCAAAAAAGGTTATACACCTAGTTTTTAAGAAATACTTGAAGAGTCATCTTTAACAATGTAAGTGTGTGTACACAAGCACAAAGACCTTAGTTTTTACAAAACCTCACTTTTCTCAAACAAATCCTATATCAAAAATTCCACACACACAAATCTACACGTCAATCTATTTTATAATGGCATTTGCAAAGACTTTATGCATAGTAAGAAAAAAAGCTTACATCATCCCAAGTCCAGCACTTCTCATTGGCTGTGATGCCGGTCTCTCTGTAGTATTCTTCCAATGGTGGTTCCAGAAGAATCACATCAAATTTGGATTTCAGTTCTCTAACGTCAAAGGCCTCCAAGTCTGCTTGTAAATACCTATTTAAAGAGATAATAAATTGTGACAAATTGCTTGGAGAAGGCAGAACTGCTTGTGATTCTTGGAAAGATGCTTGTCCTTTTGGTTTCTAGGGGCTACAATACATTGAACAGATGTAAAAATACATTAACATCTTGAACATAAGCAAGTTCTATGGTGACAACACAGATATAGTGAATAACGAATAAGAGTACAGGAAGTCCCCAAGTGATCTACATACACCATTACACTATGAAAGTCCAATACAACTAAACTAATGACATTTTCAAAGAAAGGTCCTTTTAAAGACATAGCAATAAGGACTGATGGATAGAGAGTAGGGAAGAGCAAACAACTATCCACACATGATCTGATACAGAATCAAGGTACAGATTATTTACATGGAACATTTAAAAAAAAAATCTCAATTTAAAAAGAAATGCCAGGTGCTGCTCAGATGTGATTTTTTGGGGGTGGGGGAGGGAATAGTACATATACAGTAGTGAAATTGCAATGCTAGAATATATAGTTTCTATCTGCTCTACGTGAACTCTACAAATACGGAGGACAATTACATTCGGTGTATTGGGAATGTAGCTTTACTACTGGAAATTTTGCTTTGAGCAAGCTATTTAGTATTTGTCCCATTTCCTGCTCATGTATATTGCACCCTCCTCACCAGTTGCTAATTACTGTTCTATCTACACTTTTATGAAAGTCTTGCTAGGTTTGACTTACAGAATACTCTCTCTCCTGGCTATATCTAGGAAGTTTTGTTTGATTTATTTAGGGAATGCTAATTGGATTTTTTTTATTAGACAGATAAAGGGTGATGGTAAGAAAAATGCTATCATATTTTTAAACCACTATGATTTTTATTAGCCAACAATTAATGTTAACGTATGCCAATTGATTTCAATCAAGTTAACTGGATAAGTAAGGAATACATATAATTACTCTCTAGGTACAGATTAAAGCCAATCCAAAACTGCATCAGTCAACATTCATGAGGTTCAAAAATATGGGTAGAAAAATAGAGTATTTTAAAATACAGCAGAAATTCTGCAGGAACTGGGAGAAAACAAACAAGTTATAACATGGCAAGCCACCTCTCAAGCCAATCTCCTTTTGAAAGGATCTTTCAAAAAAGGCTTTTCTTTTTGAAAGAACCATATCTAGCCCGTGGCTTCACTTTCGAAATAGCGTTTTTAAAAAAAACCCACTGTGACGCAATTATGCAAAGGAGGCACGGGAAATTCAAATCCCAGCTTCATTTGCAATTTCGATATGTCTAATTTACATCCCTCTTTCGAAAAAGGGATGTAGTCTAGACAAAGCCTTATTGTAAAATAGATCTGGATGACCTGGACACCAGGTGTGGTACACACATGTGAAAATTATACTTATTAAATAGCATTTTCACAATATTTGGTACACAGAAGATTAAATAAATTGCCAAATTTTCTTTTAAAAGTTTGTACTGTGGTTTGAAACTACATTGTTCTATGTCAAGTTTTTTCATATATATTTCTCATTTTTGACAGCTAGATGTATGTTTGTATCTCAGTGAGATTGAAACCACAGTCTACAAAAAATCTTTTTCAGGCTTCATGAACTATCATGCTCTGGTAAGAAAATCTAAATTTATATACAATTAAACACTCAATTAAATTATCCAAAATAAAATGGTTACATTCTCTTTAGGATTCACTGATTTAATTTACATTCACAAACCAGAAATAGAAAGTGTAAATCTTAAACAGGTGCTGAAAGATAAAGAGATTTGTGGAGCAGACAGTTAACATTAAGAGAGTCTGGAAAGCAGAAACCAGTTTCTACCAAAACACTTACATGGGGGGAGTGTTAGATTTAGATATTAGCTCGTCCTTTAGTCTGATGAGCTCTCTAAGTTTGGGATATTCTTCAAACCTGTCTGCTAAGCCTGAGGAAAGTAAGAAAATTAGTTAATTTTCTATTTGTTCTAGGAGAAGAAAACCTGTGCAGACAGCTAATAGACAAATCCATTAAGTATTCTGAAATAGACCCAGATGTTTTAGTAACTCGTTTTATTTAAAAAACAAAAGAACAAGCAAACAAAGTTCTTCAAAACAATCAACAACCTATTCAGGTTACCCCAATACTTAATAAAAGCTTCCTATCTTCATTCAGTTGTCCATGCCCAAAGTTATTGAATATTTTAATCAATGGAATTTCTCTACAATAATAAAATGAAGAAATATTAGAAAAGATTATGAATGACACTTTGTCCAAAAATCTCCAAATCTTTCTAGTAACCTATGATTCACTTTTGTTCAAATTAATTTGGACAAAAGACATACAGTGGAGAGTTTTATATTTTCCCCTGTAATTTTAGTTTAAGTTTATTTTATATATTAAAACAGAATGACACAAATATTTAGTGATAACAAATATATACATTATTGTCTCCAGAACAACTGACCTTTAAAGACCACTTCTAATAGGCAACTGATTGCAGCTCCTCACTTAAATTGGGTTAATTTTAATTGTTACACTAGCAGATGTGCATACACAGAAGTTTCATAGACATTTTCATTTCTTAATAGACTTGAAGGCAAAATTTTGGCTCTGGTATGTATAAGGTACAGACCTTGTTATCTTCATAGCATTTATATATTGGCTGTGAGCAATTCTCCCTACAATCCTCCTCCAACCAAAAGAAAAGTTAAATGGAAATATTTTTGTAAATCCTATTAATACCCTAAATATGGGGAAACAAAGGATCCTGATGTATTTCCCTCTCCCAAACAAATATCAGCTCAACTTTGAGTAACTTGCAGAGCTTTTCTTATTTGAATTGTTCTACTTTGTGACCTTATGAGACTTGGAAACCATAAAGATTCTCTTTTGCTTTTATATTTGTGAAAATTCCTGTCCTGGTTATTTTAATGCAGAACAGTGGCTTCAGCCTCTACCTCCAATTTCATGGGAAAAAAAAATGTGTTGGATATTCCTAAACTCCACCCCAGCTGACATCACAGCTATTTGTATCTAATGAAATGGAAATATTTTCTTCTCTTATACATACACTTCACTTACAGATTGCATTAAACCAGTTATGTTTTCAGTAACAGCCACTACTTTAGCCCACCTTCACAGCACAATGAGAGTGGGATATAGAAAACTTTGACAGCAGGTTTTATATCATTAGGATATAATGCTGATCTTGTACCAAAAGGAATCAATGGAAATGAACTGTTGCTTCTGACAAACCCTGCAACTTTCAACAGAGACTTATCAAAAAGTTTGCCAGAGTTGCATCTCAACTGTGGTTTTGATCTACATACATGTTTAATATTCAGTTAGTAACCATGATCAGCTAACAGTGCATCACACCTACCAGCTGCCTCATATGGCACAAAACAGTCTTCCTGTAACTGGTTAACATATTTGTTTCATAAACAGGACACCATAATCATGTTCTTGTAATCAAGTTTGGGCACGTCCGCCTCCCTCTCAGCTCCACACGCAGCAGAACATCCCACAATGTATTGTCTCACATGCTATTGCATGCATATTGTCTGAGCACCCAGTTCCCAGCTAGCACTATGAATATCTGCCTAGACTTGCTTTGAAAGATTGTCCAGTGGTTAAGGCACTAGCCAAGGAACTGAGAAGCAGGTTCAAAATATAATCCTTTTTCAAAAGGAATCTGTTTAAGGGGAAACCTGAATACAATATAAAACACTAAACTTGTTATAGTCTCTTAAAACAAAAAAATAAATATGATGAATCCATGAGCATCTATCAAAAGCTTTAAAGGCTTCTTTTCTATATGAAGAATCACAGGGAAAATACTTAACTTTTGAGGTCAAGCTTTATAACTATGAACTAATAGGTCGTGTATTATATTAAGGACTTGATCCTGTGGGGAACAGAGGAGCTATGCTACAGGGTGAAAGAGACTGGCAAAGTCATCACAGGCATTCAGACCCAGCCAATAACTCTTGGAGATACTATAATTTTTTTTATGGCTACACAATACATCAGAGCAACTACGGACAAGGCAAGCAATCATTCATTATCTTCATACACAAAGTATTCATTATTCTCAATAATTTGTAAAAATAGTTAAATAAAACTTTCAAGCATATGAACATCTCATGTAACAAATATAAATATATCGGACTCAAAATATGCAGATTGTGTTATGAGTGTTAGAGCTATCAAAATGAATAAACTATTTATAGTGGAAAGAAGTCAGTTATCTAAAACCTCTTATTTCAAAAGCTTATGCCAAAAGGTTTTTTTCTTAAAGTGTTCAGAAGACTGTTACAAGAAGCATGTCTATTCTGAAGTAGCATCCAGGTGCCATGATTAAGATGTGTTTGTACAGCTCTTAGCACAAGAGCTGAAAGTCCTGTAATTAGTTCAAAATGAGATAAAACATTTCAGAGAATTTTTTTAAATGCTAAGTTGGAATGACACATCCATGTTGGAGGACAGGACCAAGGGATGTTATTTTAATTTTACAAATTCAAAACACAGAACAAGTTGGTATTTACATAGCAAACAGTAAATTCTCCATTGGCCTGAACATGTGAAACTAAATTGACGTAATAGTTTAGAAGAGCATAACTATTTAATGAAGTTATCCTAATAATGAATTTTCAGCACTTACTTTACATAGTATTATTCCTATTTTATAGATCAAGAAAACACACAGATGTCAAGTGAGTTCTCTGGGGCAGCACTGTGAAACCAATCGCTAAACCAAGATTAAAAAATAACTGTCCGTGGGAGCCAGGGATTCTCAATCTATTTTTTTTGGAGCACCCCTCCAACATGCTATAAAAACTCCAAAGCCCAGAAAGCACACTCTTCCCCCCTCCCCCCGGCACAGGTATAGTTTGACTTCCAAGTGGAGGAAGGGACACAGCAGCAAGGGCCAGCGTGGCTCATGCCAGCTCCACCCAGCAGAATCCGGGGAGGGAGCAGCACCTCCACTCCCGACCCCTCTCAACAGGTCAACCAGCTTATTCACATTGTAGGGCAACCAAAAATTATAAATGAAGGTGGAAGGAGCGGGGGCCCGAGACTCAGCCCTGCCATAGGTGCTGGAGTTTCAGGATTCACACCTGGTTCCAACCCCACATAGGCCCCAGGACTCTGGGTTTCAGGTGCAGGGCACTGTGCGGACCACTGGTTGAAAACAGCTGCACTTTATCACAGTGGAACATGAAATTTGCCAGTTAAAAGGCTTTTAATACTCAACTATTTAAAATAAAATGGGCAATAGCATCTTCCTACTTCTATATAACTGATATGACAAAAAACAAAACAAAAACAAACAAACAAAAAACACACACTTGGTAATTTTACAAATGGAAGATCAGAAAGAAAGACTCTCTTCCACTACCTTTCTTGTTTCAATTAAAAAATTATATATAGCATGCTCAAGTATAAGTAATTATGGTTGTGGGGGAGGGGGAACAGGAGGAAGAAAAAGGAATATATTACAGCAAACAGAAAGAAACATTCTTAGATGACTGACATACCCACATCTCTGATAAAATTCTGCGGTCTGTGTCCTGTATCCACAAAATGTTGACAATAATCATTGTGAGGATTTAAGCTCTGGGTTCCCTAGAGAAAAAGAAAAAAAGAACAAAAAAGAGAGGGAAACAATTCAAGATATGCACATTTCCAACTGATTTAACATGCTACACAGCAAAGACTTTCTAGCTTACAAAATACTGTTCTGCCCCTTCCTCAACATGTCATTCTATGCTATAAAGATTCAACAATACACAAGTTATGCAATAACATAAACTTTAGCCACTGGTACAGGTTCACAGATACTATGGCTCACTGCAAGCCAGAAACAGGCCTAAAATAGAACAGGCTGATAACATGCACTCATTTAGTCAGATGTTGGCCAAGTGATTCGTGAACAATGGAAAGGCCATGTGCTTATGGATGATGTGAAATTAAGTTCCCTCATTAACCTCATAATCAGAGAAATAAGTTCATCCCATAAAATATTTCAAACTTCTTTAGCTGCGGATGCATCTTACAGTAACCACATGATGGGAAAGCAATGGCTGCAAGGTGCAGAGGAGGCTTACCTTAAGAAAGGTACTGGAATCTTTGTAAATCTCTTCTTCATAGGGCAGGTTCTCTTCATCTTGATGCAGCTCTACTTCATCCTTTGGAATAAAGCAGATTTATATGCATGTAGGCACATCCTGTTTCTCTCCTCATTATGACTCCGCTTCTTAATAAAGGAGGAACTGGGCTGTCTATGAGTATAAGCCTCCTGCAACAGTAGATCATGAATGTTTCCAATGCCAGTTTTGGAAAAGAAATAACTGACATGTTGCCAAAAAGGGCACTGTCTTTCTCTTGTTGTTGAGTAGGTTAGCTTACCAACAAGGCCTTGAAAATAAGTACAAGTAATAAAGTAAGAAACATTTATAAAGCATTACAAATATATGATGTGCTTTACATCACAAAATCAGACATGCACTGTCCTGAAGAGTTTACACCCCCTTTTTCATCTCTATCCACCAAAAGTATTATTTTTACACAAGGTAAACTGGAAAGCCTTAGTAATTAAGACACTCTCTTGTAAGTTACTGTCCATGTTTTAATGAGTCCCTATAGCCCATTATAAAAGCCAACATTTTAACTCCTTCTCCCTAGCCATATCTTCAAAAATACCTAACAAACAAATAGAACACAAAGCTTTTACAAAAAGGGTGACTGACTTACCTTTGGCTCAGTAAAGGATGCTACCTTTAAAGAGCTTCAAGAAATTTCCTTTCCCTTTAAAAGTAAGTCATCATCATCTATGTATGTTTATACATAGATACACTCAAGAGAACAAAACTAAAAGATGCCAATCTGGTTCACTCACAATCTAAAGCACAACAATGACCAGATCAGAATTTGGTTCTGCTCAGTGTATCACTCTCAATATATTATTTGCAAACAAAAGCTGCTCTCACCTGCTCTGTATAAACCAAATGGATTTATTATGCACCCTCAGAGTAAATATACTGGGAGAAAATATATATGACAGTCAGACAAAGTAAGGGAAAATTATTATTTTTTGCCTTAAAAATAAAAATGGTTCTGTTACAGAAGTTCACTAAGACAGCAGTTAAATCTTTGAACCTGAGTATCCCTCAACAATTTTCCCCAAAAGTTACGTCTCTCTTCCCTGTCCCCAATCTCTTGGTTTTCTGTAGTTACTTAAGCCCAAGTTAATGGTGGTGACAGTCGGATCTAGGCCTTAGACTTCAAACTCCCCTTGGAACAAAGAATGTTTAATTTTTTTGTTCATACAGTCTGTCCAGTGCAATCAGACCCCATCGACTGGCTTCTACAGGAACAAAACCAAAAAAGACTGAAGGGTTGGACTGCAATGATGAAATAAGCAAAGGAAAACTTTGCTTCCGCCTTCATTATCTTCTCTAATGCATTTTTGCACTTTGTATTTTAATACTAAAATGAATTCTTATTTGCTTTTCACAAATCTGAAAAGTTACTAATGCAGTCAAAGAAAAGAAAAGCTAGCCTTGTGGGTTAAAGGCTAAGGACCTAAGTTTGCTTTTGAGCTCGGCCACATATTTCCTGTAACCTAGACCAGTGGTCACCAACCAGTAGATCGGGATCTACTGGTGGATTTTGGAGCCTCTGACAGGTGACCCTGACTGGTTTGGCCAAGAGGCTATCAAGTGCAGCGCTTCATCTGCGCTTCCCCGCACAGCTGCACACCTCCTGCCCTTTGTCTTGGAGCTGCCCCTCTCCGGGAGCCTCCTGCTTGCTATACAGAGCAGGGAAGGGAGAAGAGTGGTGCTTATGTCAGGGTGCCCCTCTCCCCTCCTGTATTCTACCTCCACAGAGCAGAGAGGGAGCACAACAGGGCTTGGGATGGAGGGAGTTTGCTAGCTGTTTCTGAGAGTGGTGCAGGGCCAGGGCAGGGGTGAGCCTGCCATAGCCCCACTTCACCACCACTCAGGAGCCACCTGAGGTAAGCAGTGTCCATCTGGAGCCAGCGCCAATCCCCTGCCCTAATAATGAACCCCCTCTTGCGCCCCCAAGCCCCTGCCCCAGGCTCAGTTCAGAGCCCCTCTCACACTCTAAATCACTTAGCCCAAGACCAGAGCCTGCGTCGCAACCCTCTGCCCGACTGATGAAAGGGAGGGAGAATAGGGGTGGAAGGGAAGATGGAGTGAGCAGGGGCAGGACCTCGGAGAAGTGGCACGAAGGAGGCGGGGCAAGTGTATTTGGGTGTGAGGTAAATCTTGGACTGCACTTAAATACAAAAAGTGATCTTGTGCTTTAAAAGGTTGGAGACCACAGACCTAGACCAATTAAGCCCATTCTATCAGAACTCACTTTCTCATTTCTAAAATGAAAACTACTTCAGAAAGGATGAATATCTGCAAAATTTAGTGTGATATTCAAATGAAAGGCAATGTAGCACCATGTGAGCTATAGGGATATAAAAAGTTAACTGGTTACCCAGTAAATATTAACCAGTTAACCTTACCAGCATTCTTACCTGGTAACTGAAGGGCTGGGCACAGGAAGCAGCTCCCACCTGCCTACAGCACAATCTTCCCCCAGGTGGGCAACAACCCTTCCCCCTCCACCCACGGCATGGCATGACACCAAGTTGCCAGAGCAGCTGCTCCCCAGCCATGGCAGGAGGACAAATGCCAGCCATATGATTAACTGGCTAAATTATTACAATTAATATCAATTAATTGGTTAACTTTTAACTTAATTGGATATTTTCCTAACTAGAGACCCATCAGTTCACAGAACAGAATTATAGAAATGCAATATAAAAATACTCTACATTTCATAAGCTTGGTACAGAGGAGAGAGAAAATCTGTGCTACAAAATAAAACTCACAAGTCTTGAAACACACAAACACAAAACCCTTGACTTTGTGCTCAAAAAAGTACAAATTCCTCTTTATTTAATTTTCATTCAGCAATGTTAACATGGCAAATAGACACTTAGGAATAATGTACATTATTAGTTAGGACTATATTAAGCAACATGATTTGAGTATCAGAAATTCCTGAGTGTCTGGATTGGGCTATGCATAATTGCACTACTGATTTCTGCAAACCTGAGCTCAACCTTGCTTTAGATAATACTATGAGTTTTCCAGTCTTCATTATATCTTTGGCAAATTTTGGTCTGCATAACCAAACTACAACATAATTAGGCTTTAAGGGCTACCTGTGCTGACTGTGGCTCTTGGATCAGAAAACTACAAAGACTATTGCAGGTTAATACTGCAGAGAGAGAGAGAGAAGCAGGAAAACTTAAATCAATACGATCTGTCTCTTATTTTCATAAACTTGACAAATCAATCTATAACTGCTTATTAATGTTATCCCTGGAAGGAATATTTAGTCTAAGGTACCCACACATTTTACAAAGGAGTACTTTAACTTTTACACTTAGTAGGGATTCAGACTTAGACCACTCATGAGTTTGTATTACTAAATTATTAAATTTAACATGCTTAAGCTAACAATGAAAAAATATTAAGCAAATTCAAAGGCCAAAATTTTATTAAATAAACCTCCCCCCCGACCATTAGAAAAACTGCAGTCTATACAAGATAGTTCTTTGCTGTATTTTAGTCAGTCTATTGGTAATTTTAGATTTTCATGCGAGTAATTAAATAATATACAGGTCTCAAGTCTGAGGCTTTATTCGTGTACTTATTTTTTAAATTCAGTAATATCGCTACAGATTGGTCACCCACCTAAAGCCTTGTGTACACTACCGCAAGCTGTCTACCTCAACTTCAGCTACATGAAAACATAGAGGAAGTCGACATTCAGAGATCTGCTTATCTCAATACAGTATCTTCACCACTGTAAAGTTGACAGCTGACATTCTCCCATAAACTCTGCTTATTCTTCTCTTTTTAAGAGAGCACTAGAGTTGACAAGTCGATTTGTCTATACTAGGGATGTAATAGTGTAGTCGATTAGCCAATTAGCAAAAGCTTGTAGGTTAACGATATAGACTACATGCATTTCCCCCCATCCCCACCAGTAAATTTTTTAGCAGGCTGGCCAATAGTCTAGCTTGCGACGGGATCGGCCCCTGCTATGGCTCTCCATTTAAAGTGTATTAGGAGCCAGGTAGCCCAGCTCAGTTCCGGCTTGCACCGGATCCGGGAGCTCAGACCCCCACTGGACAAGGGCTACTGCCACCCTATGCTGCTGCCTCTGTATTAGAGGGAGCAACACGGTGAGACAGGCAGCCAATCTGCGAGGACAGCTAGTTTTTAAACAGGTTCCCCTGGCAGACCAGCTCCTGCCTGACACCCCATAATACAGAGGCAGCAGTGCGGAGTGGCAGGGGATTCCTTAGAATAGGGCTGGCGCACACTGGTTGCCTATCCCACCCCCAGGGACTACAGAATAGTCAAGAAACTGATAAGAATTCATTAGGTTACTCGACTACTCAATTAACAGCTATTTAATATCCCTAATCTATACTAAACGTGATAAATCAACTCCTGCTGTATTGATCACTGCCTGTCAATCCAGACAAGCCCTAAGTAGCAACAGGCTAATTAAGAATAGGTTATTTACTTTTCATACGGTACTGATAATCAGGGCTCGCCAAGCGGCGGCGAGCCCTGCTCACCAGCCACGCGGTTCTGCACTCTGTGCATGTGCAGATCGCTCTGCACCAGCTCTTCCGGGTTGTAATCTACGCCATGGGCAAGTAGATTACATTATTTGTCGAGCCCTGCTGATAATCTTTGTGTATTAATTGTATGTGTTTTGGTCACTTAAGTATTTTAGAAACAAATTAATTCAATTTACCAGAACACAAAAATAATTGATAAGGCCTATAAATACTTGTTTCTGTATTCTATTCCAATGATACTTTCAATATATCAAAGGCTCACCTTATTTTATGTTTGCTTTCTTTACTCAGCTCAGTGAATGTATTTTTCTCATGATACCCCTATAGCTAACTTATTGTACATATGGAAGTGGGTATGAAACAGACTGTTTCAATGATCCTCCCAATTCCAGTGATTATACTATTTTTGTGCACCCAGAAGTACTATAAGCAACATCTCATTGATTTGATATAAGTCAATAGTGAGTGTCATCGAAAAATAAGGAAAAGGGAGAAAGACAATGGTAACAATTAACAAGGTCACAGCTAATCAGTAAGATACACATGCCTTGAGAGTCACTATTTGGTTCAACCTTCTCCACCAATCATTTATCCGAAGAGTCAAAAATGAATTTTTAGGAAGTACTTAAATGAGATAAAGGAAATAGGCTGTCACATATGTCTGGGATAGGTGTCTCAGGAATATGAGGAAGCAAGGAAGACTGACTTTTAACCAACATTTCCTTTGTAAAAAATATCTTCTGATGTCTTATCTTAAACAAAACATGGACACAAACCAACCTCCTGATCTCTCCTTCCAACAAACTCTTTCTTTTGCCTTTACTGAGCACACAAACATTCATCCTCTTTGTCACTTTGCCCATACTTCATGGGAATCTTCAACTCCCTGACCTCATCTAAAGCCAACTCCTACCACTTTAAAAATCCAATCTATTTTGCTTGTACTGCAAGTTCTTGGACAGGAAATCAAAATGAAACCTCTTTGGCCTCTCAGCAATACATCACACCATTTCATTTCATATAAAATTACTAGTTACGTATTCCTGGCCATTTCCTCTGACCATATCACACCTTTCCTTGAATCTGCCCACGTGTTCAACCTTCACCACTATACTCATCAGTGCTGTCATGGCCCTCTGTAATTCTGCCTTTTCACATGTATTCAGTCTGGTCTCTTCCATCACTAGCCATCCCTCCTCACTGTAACAATGCTTTTTTACCATGTTAAAAAAATATTTTCTTTGGACTGTTATTTATCTTTTTACCTTATATTCTTCAATTTCTTCTTCATCAGCTTCTCCCTCATCTGGATATTTGCGTTTTGCATTTGATGCTGAAGTATCATAAGAAGCCCTAAAAAACATATAAAAAATAGATGTAATGCAATTTCTCTTGCTTCACTACATTAGAACATATATTATAACCTATGATTATCTACAATGAATGCATATTGGTTTCTGATTCTAATTTAAGGGTCTGGTTGTACTCTATAAAGCCTAAAATTGCTTGGGACAACCTCTCTGCTAATGCTATAGCTTTCTGACAAACGAACTCTTCTAAGGAGTAGTCTCTCATTTTCTCAAATGTTCACATTGTTATAACCTTAAAATAACACCTTTACTTTGCAGTGTTTTATACTAACCAGACCCAAAACAGTCATATTATAAGGACAGCTAAAGCAGTGAAAATCCAGTAGTCATTCCTACTGACGTTATAATTTCATTAGTGTAAATGTACAGTAACAACGGCCATGCTGGATCAGACCAAAGGTCCATCTAGCCCAGTATCCTGTCTGCGGACAGATGTCCCAGAGGGATGGATCACAACAGGTAATCTTCACTTGATCCCTCCCGTCTCTCACTTCCAGAGAAACAGAGGCTAGGGGCACCATGCCTACCCATCCTGGTTAATAGCCATCAACTCTGCGCTGATTAGGCATCAGTTGGAGTACTGTGTCCAGTTCCGGGCACCACATTTCAAGAAAGATATGGAGAAATTGGAGATGGTCCAGAGAAGAGCAACAAGAATGATTAAAGGTCTAGAGAACATAACCTATGAAGGAAGACTGAAAGAATTGGGCTTGTTTAGTTTGGAAAAGAGAAGACTTAGAGGGTTTTTTAGGTATCTAAAAGGGTGTCACAAGGAGGAGGGAGAAAACTTGTTCTTCTCTGGACCATCTGGAGGAGGGAGAAAACTTGTTCTTCCTGGCCTCTGAGGATAGACCAAGAAGCAATGAACTTAAACTGCAGCAAGGGAGGTTTAGGCTGGACATTAGGAAAAAGTTCCTAACTGTCAGGGTGGTTAAATACTGGAATAAATTACCTAAGGAGGTTGTGGAATCTCCAACTCTGGAGATATTTAAGAGTAGGTTAGATAAATGTCTATCAGGGATGGTCTAGACAGTACTGGGTCCTGCCATGAGGGCAGGGGACTGGACTCAATGACGTCTCGAGGTCCCCTCCAGTCCTAGTATTCTATGAACCTAACCTCCATGAATCTAGCTAGCTCCTTTTTGAACTCTGTTAAAGTTCTTACCAGAGGATGCGGTGAAGGCTAGAAGTTCCACAGGTTGACTGTGTGCTGTGTGAAGAAAAACTTCCTTGTGTTTGTTTTAAACCTGCCACCTATTAATTTCATTTGGTGACTCCTAGTTCTTATATTGTGGGAATAAGTAAATAACTTTTCCTTTTTCACTTTTTCCATGCCAGTCATGATTTTATAGACCTCTACCATAGCCCCCCCTAGTCTCCTCTTTCCTAAGCTGAAAAGTCCAAGTCTTTTTAATCTCTCTTCATATGGGACCTGTTCCAAAACCCAATAATTTTTGTTGCCCTTACAGTAACTGAAAATAGTGTCCGTCTCCAAGGATGAATTTGAAGATGGGGTCTAAATTCTACTTGCCTTAAACAATTACTTCAAGGGGGTTCTGAGGACCACTTCAACAGCACTGGAGCAGCCCCCAGCCCTATGCTGGAGCCGGCTGCCAGCTCCATTGCCAGGTCCCACCTCCGGCCAAGCAGCCACTGCTAGCGGGGCACCCAGGCCCACCGCAGACAGAAGCTGATCTGGAAATTGGAGAAGCCCCTGCCTGCAGAGTGCCTAGGCTCCCGCCATGGACAGAAGCAGCTCTGGATGAGAGCAACCCACGGTGGGTTTCCTACAGGGCTGGAGGAGGCCCCTGACTGTGGCAAAGGGTGATCTGCTCCAGCCCCCACTGTTTACCAGTTAACAAGAACTGGTGAGCATTACCCATTTAGGACTCTACGTGGCATTTCAAAGTGGCAGTGCTGCATGGAGCCCAGAGTCTGGCCCCAGGCTCCACACAATGCTGCCGTGTTGAAGTACCTCCTCTTCTCCCCCCTTTTTGCCTCTTTCTGATAGAGGCAGCGGAGGGAAGAGGGACGAGCGACTAGAGGACTATCCTTAACATCAGCATTTGCTTATCGGTTAGTTGACTAGTCCTTAACATCCCTTCTTGTGACTGTGAAATATTTTTTTAATTCTTCTTTTCTGGTGTGAACTAATGTTTCTTTACTTTCGTTAACATGGATGAAAAAATGCTTGTCTTAAGAAACCAATCCTATTTGCTTCTTCCCCTCTTTCAAAAACCATAGTCTCACACCGTGCAAGATTTCTAACAGAGAACTACATCAATACCAACCTGCAAGTTTCTCTTGTTTCAGCGATCTCCCTCTGATCATCTTTGCTGTTCAATACGGCACCAATACTATCTGCACTCTCAGCTCCCAACTGAAATAAGGGCAACACACCACTTTTTTGTTTGTTTGTTTCAGGCAAAGCATGCAGCCAATTAAAAAAAAATGGGTCAAACCCTCAAACCCAACTGACCCCTTGTGATGAAAGTTAGACACCCCGGATCCCACAGTGACATTCCACATGCACAGGTCTGGAGACCAGAGCACAGGAGGGACCTCGGGAGCACACATGGACATGGCGTGTGGCGCCTCACACGCCCTAGGCACAAATCTGCCCCCGTCACTTAGTGCTCAGTAGGAGTCTAACCGAATAACCGATCATCAGCCAAGCTCTGCAGCCGCCTCCCTAGGAGCAGAGCCGGGGGCCAGGCCACTCTCTGGGCGGGGGCTGGGCAGTAGAAAGTTTAAGCTTTGCACCGCCAAACCCACAGCACGTGCACCCACCGATATTTCCAGCGGGTACACGGTTACCGTTTAACCGCTTTCGCGCTTCCCCGGAGCGCCGCCCCCCCCCCGGGGCCTAATCACCAGCTGGCAGAGGGGCCATGCGGCGATGACGTCACCAGAAGAGGGCACTGGGCAACCCCCCCCCTGCCACAGGGGGCCGCGCGCGCACGCGCAACACTCACAGCCTCCTCCTGCCCTCCCCCCGGCCCGCGCCTGCCACAGCTGTGGGGGCGGGGTCAAAGGATGAGACCCACCCCCGTACGCCCAAGGTGGCTGCGCGCCGGGAGCGCTACGGCCCTTCCCCCACACGCCCTCTTGCCTAACCCGCCCACCGCTACCTGCTGTGCTAAGAGCTGCCGGCGGAGTTTCTGTCGCTCCCTGATCTCCTGCAACCGGCTGTTCATCGCCATGCAACCGAGGCGGGCACGCCGCTGGCGCTTCCTTAAAACGTCACTTCCGCTTCCTGCCCTAACTTCTCCGGAGACTTCGACGGCACGGGGAGGCCCGAGCGCGCGAGTCACGTGACGCAGCCAGTCGCTTTTTGCCGCAGCTGGGCGGCAGTTTCTGGGGGGAGGGGGGGAGATGCTTGGCTGTTTGCTCTGCGCATGTGCGGCTGGGCCTGACTGTCCAGGCACCTCATGCTCATAGCAGTCAGTACCACAGTCTCCCTTTGCCTCCTCCTCTCCGCCCCTACCTGGGCTGTACTCCAGTAACAGCCAGCTGGGGTGCCTGTGTCTGACTGTACCAACTCCACTGCTGTGTGCCTGCCACAGGGGCTAGTGCCCTTTATGCAAGTCAGCGCTGCCCCTTGACTTTCACCCTGGATTCTTGCATTTCCTTGGCTCTCAGCTGGGTCCTGTACCTGCGGGACCAGCTGTCATAACACTTTGTACAGTTCTGCAAGTCAGCATGAATCCCAGAATGCAACAACACAAAAATGTCACAAAATGATATTGCCCCAATGTCACGTCACAACTCCCTCACTTCACAACACAGCATTCGCATATTGCAATACAACAGCCACATTAAAAATGCAACATCCTATTGCCAAAATTACTTGAAAGTGAATGGACGGTTATGTTCTGCTTTTAGCAACAAAAAGCATGAACCAGAGTTTAATTGTGCACGAATTTTAATGATATGCCACATAGGTGTGGATCTGTATAAAAGTATAAAAAATAGATTTATGGATGCATAATATGACTACTCCATATGGCTTTCAGCATTTTAAATGTAGCACAGTTCTACCTTCAATCGGCCTGCTCCCTGCTCTCCCCGCTATCAGTTACACTGTTTTCTCATATACTGTCTTGGTGAGAATCCTGTTTTTCCTGCTCTCTTCCTCAATCCAGAGATACCACATCCATTCTCTCCCTCTAGAGTTCAGTCCCAACTGTTGCTAACTTCTGGCTTCCCATCTTATCACATCTAATAGCTGAGTTTTTAATTTTTTTTATGCCTACAGTTCTACGTTTTTACATCGTGCCTATGACTATAGACTTCAAGTGGCTCTGTAGTAACTGAGCAGCATTGATTGAATAGTGAATCATACCAGTATTTTGACATTGTTAGATACCATTAGATACTATTTGTTGGATAGCAAATCATACCTGGTAAAAGACACTTACCTGATTATTGACTAGATCTGTGGAATCCAATAGTCACTAACCACATGTATCTTGAACAATGTGGCTATTTGGCTGGTTGAGTATGGCTAGTTCACTATAGTGGCCACTATATAGTGACTACTGCTTCAGAACTGATTGGACTGGTTGCACCATGGGGCTAGACTGTCTTGCAGTTAGACAAAGGAGAAAAAATAGGAAACTAGCATATGAACTAGATCCTAGTTACCAGACATTTGACTGGCTGAAACTGCTTAATGACTTTCAAGTCTATCATTCTTTGATAGAATTAATGCCATAAAATGAATACTCTGCAAGACAACCATGTAAATCTTCATGAAGGAAAAAGCCACTTATCCATCATCTTTTGCTGTGTGTCCCTGGAATATGTATACATATGGCTTTTTTGTTGGGTTCATTTCTGTGTTTCAATTTAAAAGAGAGAGAAAGAAAGATTAAAATCCTTTTAAAAACATTTGGTTGTAATCTCCCATTCACAGCTGCTTCCAGTACTGACCTTTCAACTGTGTCATTTATTTGAAGGGTTTTGTATAAGGGATAACCATCAGTTTTGCAGAAATGCCTAGATAGCAAGAATTAGAATGATATTTAATGAGGATTTGATTACTTTGGAACTGTGAATGATGTACATGTATGTGTGTGTGCATGTGAGGAGCCCTTTTCCCATGTAAAAAATGCAATTTCCAGTATTTTTGAGGAAAGACATAATATTCAGACAAAATTGCCAATAAAACAATGGGAAAATTCTGAATAATAAAAGTAAGCATCATCGTATCATCAAGTATTTACACATATTACTGCAGGTCTGTCGTTGCTTTTCTTCAATAGGATGCTGTGACAGATATGGCAATTTCCTGCAACATCCTGGACAAACCTTATTGAATTAAGATTAAGTATTTCAGAAGTTCATTGTATTAAAATGCAAATATTATTGTGGACTGTATGTAACTCCTGTATGGGCCATGACCATGATTAATGTAAAACTTGGGAAGTTTCCGGAGCTTCAAAGGAGTCTTTGAAATTATGTGCTAGCTAAATAAATAAAATTAAGTGAGATTTCCAGGAAACACTTGGAAGAAAGAGAAAGCCACTTCTCATTTCCAGACCCATCCTTTTGATGCTGCAGCCTGAGGAGAAACTCATTGTCTACTGATCATCTGTTTCTTTAGGGCCAGACCAGAGTCCCAGAATAGATAAAAAAGCAATTCATAGATAGAGACTGGCTTGGATTGCATCTGCATCTCTATCTGCAAAAATGAGTCGCAGATACCCGCAATGACATCCACAGATGCAGATACCCACGGATATAAAATGTATATCTGCAAATTTGGAGGGAGAAGATACAACATTTCTGAAAAAAATGAGCCATGGATATTCACATCCACAGATGCCCACATATATAAAGCGGATATCCTCAGATTTGCTTGGTTCTACTCTCAGATTAATGGGTGTGTTCATTTTGAGCTAACATCTGTTATGAATTTGAGATTACAGGAAAACCCATTGGTGGATTTTAATATTCAGCAGCCAGAGTCCTTGTTGGAGTGAGTGGGTTATTGCTAAGAAGCTTATTAATACGAATATAGATTCTTTCATTGCTTTTTAATATTTTATATAATGCTCTTATCTTAAGAATAAAAATGCTTGCTTCCAAAGAGCTATGTGGTAACTTAACTGTGGCAATTATATTGTTTATTTATATTGAGAAGACAAAGCAGGCCAGCTGAAGCAATCTGCATAGCTGGAGGATTCACAATGTAATGGGAACTGTGCAGTCTGGAAATACCCTGTCAGAAGGGAGAGCCACACATGTCTTTCTTTGCCCTTAGACAGGAGACAGCAATTGGAGTTGGAAGCTTGAGAGTGGATCCCTAGCTGGATCACAACGGTTAAATACATGGTCAGTTGTCTTGAGGTATGACAGATGCAGGTGTGTTACCTGATCCTGGTAAAAGTCCCATATTCAGAAAGTCCCACTGTGTGACTGTAAACTTTTCCCTGGTTTCAAAGTTTTAATGCTGCCTAATTTTCAATAATCTTTTTACATGTGTTGGGGTCACTGGGCATGATCCTAGGTAACTCGGAGGAGTGGAAGATCAAAAGAATTGATGAAGCGCCCCACTCTAGGCCCAAGCACCCTAAAAGCACCCCCCCTTCCGCCACTTTCCCCCTCCCAGGCATAACTTTTCTCTGGCTCACTAATAGCTGGGAACAGCAAGACAGACCTTGAGGTTGCCTAGTTACTATCAGTGGTATAGAAGAAGAATTCAGATATGTCTCTGTAGAGGGGAGGAGGAGGATAGGGCTGGCAACATGTCCCAGCGTGGGAATCTTGCTACAGTTCACTATGTTCCTGCAAGTAAACAACCTGGGTATATAAGGAGGGGAAACTGCTTACGTTGGTGTGCTTGATCTGAGATGTCTAGTCTCCTGGCACCTATCTGAGCGTTCAAATAAACTTTTTTTGCTTCTCCACACCGGTGTGTTTATTGAAGCGCGCACACCGGGCACCGAACCCAGCTGTTGCCTCCCTCGGGCACTCTGTGCTGGCAACACATGTGTACTGCATAATACTGATTCTTACAAAAGGGTTGGGACAAAATACTTTCCAGTACTACTTCAGCAGACCGGCCCACAACATTTTGGCACCTTAGGTGGGGAGCTCAAATGACGCCCCCCTGTTCCCTTGCTTGAGCCAAAACTTTGAAAGTTCTCAATTCTGCCTTCTTCCTGTTCTATTTCTCTCATGGTACTGCTCTGCTACCTACCCCAATAAAAGAGAACTAACAACTTAAAATGCCTTGTTCAAAAATTTGAAGTAACACTTAACTTCCAGAGTAGAGAGAATACATATGCACCAGCAGCAGACAATTTTCTACACTCTTGGTCCTAGTGGCGCCCCGCCACAGTCTGGCACCTGAGGCGGCTGCCTTAGTTTGCCTTATGGTAAGGCCAGCCCTGCACTTCAGATACCAGCTATAGTACATTGCCATTAAGTTCCACTGAAGTACTTGTTCTCCCAAAGGAACGTCAGCAATTCAAACACATGGCTATGCTATACTAAAACTCAGCTTGCAAGTTTGTACAGCAGCAAAAAATATTTTAGAAAAAAAGAAAGAAATGCAAACACTTTGATTTTTACAAAATTATTTTATGTTACAGTTTGAGAGTAGGACTGTAACTGAGGCAAGTCTCCAGACTGTGACACAGAGGTCAGTGTCACAGTACTCTTCATTATGTGAGAAAACAAATAAGAAGCTTTTGGATACATTACGTAAGAATTAAACTCCAGTCACTTTTAAACATGAGTGGTTGTGGCCCAATGGAATTCAGGCCTGCATAGCTAAAGAGCAATTTTGATTCCTGGTTATTTTGGAAATAATGAGTCTTATTCTCAGTTACAGTACTTTGTTCTTGTTCTTGTGGTAGAGAGAGCAGGATGTGGGGGGAAGATGGTTTTAAACCATGTTTATGCTCCCTATAGTCCAGGCTTTGCAAGAGCCTGTCTTGAATGCTATGTAAATTAGGGCAGCTCTAAATTATACTGACTTCTCATGGCCTATGAGCCCTGGGTAGATCTTTGCAACATGCTAACATATACCTCTGACCAACCTGATGACCTGGAACTTTTTCTCCGTCTCTTAGTACTGGTGTGAAAATGTTACTGGTACTTTTCTTCTCCTCCCCTCTTTGCTCTTAGGCTTTTATGTCTACTTATGTTTTCCTGACTTTTCCTTATTTGTTTCATTAAGTTTAAAGCACTGATCTTTACAGTGTGCTTTTATTTTTGTAGTGGTCCAAAGGTTATTTCTAGCAAAAGTTTTATAGTGTT